TTTAAAGCAGTATGCTGAGGCTAATTGGTTGTTTTTGCAGCGGTCCGCATTGAATGGGCTAAGGCTCGTGCACGACATTTGAGGTGGACCGAGGAGGTGATGTTGCTAAAGGAAGAGATGCGACGGGTTCGCAAGACGTTGGAGTGGAGGGCAGCATGGTGGGAACAGCATCGAGAGGGATGGAAAGGCCAAGACGAGGCAATGCAGGAAGGTATAAGAGCGTATGCGACCCAGCAGGCAGATATACAACACGGCCTTCACACTCGCTTTACACGGCTATGGGACAAGCCACTGGTACCATTTTGTAGCCAAGAAGATAGTAATGAGGGAGCTGGATCCTCTCTTGATCCCCTCCTGGAGTCCCTGGTGGAAGAGGACGAGTAGTGTCGTCCTGTACCTCTTTTCCATTTGTTTACATTTGTTTACCTGCAGCTTCTTCAATATGAACATTAGACACGGGTTTGAAACTACAACACCCTAGTTTCTGCCCAATATCAGGCTGGAATTACCTTGAGGGAGGTAAGAAAGGCCAATCCTACATTTATTCTGTCCATATATGTGGGAGGAGGAGCAGCATAATGATGCTTTTAGAGTTGTTTACATTTGTTGTGCAGGAGCATCAATTCCCAAAGGTCATCTGAATTCAGTTCACCCAATCCATCCATTTCTGACATACAGAGCGTTAGGAACCAGTTCTATTAAATCTAAATATAATACAGGATATATTTGGAGTGATTTGCGAGGCTTCTTTGTGGAAGAAACACACACAGATGCGAAAATATTGTTCTGGAGCCCAAAACAGAGGTTTGTTTGCAGATATTGACACATTGACTGAAAAACAAATACAGGTCATCAATGGATTATTAGGAATACCCCGAAATTATACTGTGGAGGCACCCTGGACCAATCCATATCCCAAAGATCATGGTCATGACCATGCTCTACGCAATAGGCATAGGTGGATGGGTCCAGTATACAAGGCATTGTCTTACAGCTATGGGTGGCTCGTCAGATTGCTGAACTTATGTTTGAAGAAGTTTACAAACTTCACGGTCTACCCAAACATATAATCAGTGACAGGGATGTTTTATTTACAAGCGTGTTCTGGGGTCATCTCCACACACTAGTGGCTACCACTTTATTTCTATAACCTAGACCCAAGCCTAGAGGGTCATTTCTATAACTTAGACTTAAGCCTAGAGGCCATATCTATAATGCTTAGGATTTTTTGAAAGGCATTTCAAATGTAGGCCTGGGTATTTCATAGTGAATTTTCCATAGATACCCAGCACATTTTCTGCAAAATTTCAAATGCAGCCCTGGATATTTCATTGCGATTTTTCAATAGATACCCTGGGCATTTCATTGCGATTTTTCAAATGTATCCCTGAGTATTTCATTGTGATTTTTCAAATGTATGCCTGGATATTTCATTGCAAAATTTCAATGGATACCTGGTGCATTTCATTGCGATTTTTCAATAGATACCCTGGGCATTTCATTGCGATTTTTCAAATGTATCCCTGGGTATTTCATTGCAATTTTCAATAGATACCCTGCGCATTTCATTGCACTTGTTCAAATGTATCCCTGGATATTTCATTGCAAAATTTCAATGGATACCTGGCGCATTTCATTGGGATTTTTCAATAGATACCCTGGGTATTTCATTGCGATTTTTCAAATGTATCCCTTGGTATTTCATTGCGATTTTTCAATAGATACCCTGGGCATTTCATTGCGATTTTTCAAATGTATTCCTGGGTATTTCATTGCAATTTTTCAAATGTATCCCTGGGTATTTCATTGTGATTTTTCAATAGATACCCTGGGTATTTCATTGCAAAATTTCAAATGTAGCCCTGGGCATTTCATTGCGATTTTTCAAATGTATCCCACATGTCAGGGTCCATGCAATGGGCTTCCCCGGAGGGTGGTCACATGACCAATTACCAAAAATGGTCAAAAAACGAAAGTTGTAGCCCTACACTGTAGCTTCCCGAATCTGTTTGAATTATGTTCTGAAGTGCTCCTGTGTG